TGTCATGTTATAGGAAATAATTTATCGGGAAGTCCTTATATAGCGCGCGACTGCCACCCTGCCGCATGTAACAAATTAACGAGACAATCGTAAGTGTGCTCAGGGGGTGCGAGAGTTGCTCTTATTTCTCTCTCGCTTCGTATACGAAGCGAAACACACCTTATATATACTTCATCTTACCGACGAATGAGCTGTGTACTTATTACCCGAGAAGAGTAACATTAGATCTATATAATATCTTTATCTTATATATAAGTATATACGTCTCTACTCGCGCGTCTCTTTAACTCGCAGGGGTTCGCCCAGGATCACGACGACGACGACGATGATGATGATGATACTCGTACGCATGGTAGACCCGAAGACGAAGAAGAAGACGAAGTCAACCAAGCGCGCACTTCTCAAGAAGCTCAACTTCGCAGGCAGGCAAGCGGGAGGCAAGCGCAAGCAAGCAACAACAATTCGCAACAGGCACGTGCCCGGAAAATTATGAGTGAGAAGGAGAAATCATAACCTCGTATGTCTGTGCGAGCTTATATATAAATGCTTATACGTCTATATGATGATGATGATGATGCCTATACCATAGCTGCTGCACTGCGACGACGACGACGACGAGTCGAGGGTTATATATTCTTGTATATATACTGAAGCAACATTGTCGGATGGGTATAGGTATGTGTACGCGCGCAAATATATATCTATACATATACTTACTCTGGAATTGCTACAGTCATCTAAGAGAGAGAGAGAAATGCTACTCTCCGTTAATTGGCAAGCTAAATATATATCTATGTACGTACACACGGAGGAATACGCATCTTCTCTCTATATCTCTGCCAGGCTCCCTGGCATCTAGAGCAAAGCTCGTATTGATGTGTACTTACGTCTAATTCGAGCAATTATATACGTCAAAAATCGATCATCCAAATGCTCCTCTCGGCTGCCTAGAATGCTGCGCAGCTATCTCGACGCGCTCAGTTTCCCAACAAGTAGCGCGCAACAAAAACCATAATATTCTCAGCAGCAGCAGCTTCTCTCTTGCCTATAAATAGAAATTATTTAATTAATTGAAGCTAATTAGCGGAAACGTGTAAAGCTGGGTATCGTGCGGGCTGCTCGTGTAAAAAGCTGCAAAAATGTATAAGCGCGTACGTTGATAACTCTAATCAACACTAGTCGAGAGCTTTTTGGAGATTCGGATGGGGCAAGTTTTTTTCTCGCGCGATTCATTCTAATCGACACGTATTAAATGTGTGTTTGAAGTACATTTTATGTCATGAATTTTTCAAAAAGTTATTTACGGTTTGTTATGGAATTAGTTAAAGTTTCACCACTCATAGACGTAAGGATTAATATTCTCAAACTCATTTTGTATCGCAATAAAATTTATTGTAATTTAAATTGTCTCATTTGGTTATGAGCTTTTCGATATCACCAACAGATGGAGTATGGTTAATTCGCAAGTAGAAAAATTTCTGATTAGTACATATATGTATAAAATAATTTTCGACATCGGTTACTGCACATGAGTTAGCTCCTGCTCCGTAACAAGTATTTTCGTTTGCGTTCAGAATGATTCGTAAACAAAATATATCAGATGTGAATTTGTAAATGCCACAAATAAAGAGTGCAAAAACTTTAAAATGGAAAAATATCGAAGTTTTTCACAGAAAAAATCGGGCTCGGAATTATTTCTTCGCGACGTGAGCTCGTAAAAGCTCTGAACCGGTCGCGCTGACCGTTGTTGTGCTGAATCGTTAGCGAAAAGGCGACTCGCAGCGGACGACACCGGCCCTCGTACGGAATCGTTAACAGCCCGTAACGTTAATTTTTATATCTCACCCGAGGAGGCAGGTATAATTGTTCGCTTGCTTTACAACCTCTGCTTCGAGCATCCTTGATCCGATTACTTCCATCGTTGGAATACATCTTCTTGGCGTTTCATCCGTCGACGCGATGAATAATAAAAAGACGAATGAGAATTTCGAAGAAAAAATAACGACCCGCCCGAGCAGTTATTTCGTTTATCGCTAACGGCTATATGAATAAAAATCCAACGTGGCACGAGTAAACTATGAATTTGAAAAACCATAAGCTTCTAAGAGCACGAATTGATACGAAACGAGTTCTAATATGAAAACGAAAAAAAAAAATGATCTAATGTACGTGTAACAAAAATGTTCAATTTAATTCAATTGCCTCATTACGGCACCGTACCAATTATCTAACTGCGCTTCGATAAAACTCATACTACGAGTGTTTCGCGCGAGCTGGATAAAATTTTAATATATACTATTATGGGTAATTTTGAATCGATGCAAAGTATATAACTATGCACAGACACACACATATAACCGTATATAGATGTGTTTGTACAAAGCGCGAAAAAGCAAATTTACCTTACATGTACAATTTATGTATACTTATGGCTTTTGTTTATTTTCCCCTTTTCCTCTCTCTCTCTCTCTCGCATCTCCGGTTTACGCCCGTAGCTCCGAGCCGCGAGCGGGGGGCACAAAGTTTTTTCCTTTCCTATCATACACTCTGTGATCTTACGATGCAGCTCGTTTCTATTTTCCGAGCTGTCATATAGCCGAGGATGCCGTTGTGTCGCGACAACGGTCGCCCGTATATACACGTATACACGCGCGTTTATATACATGTGCGACTCGATCTCTTTTCTTTTGCTTGTAAAGCTTCTTTTGCGTCATACATATGTACGTATACGTATGCGCGCGCTTGGAGCACATCTGCGTGTTCGAACGTCTGGAAAATCGTCGAAACGCGACTCTGCCTCGCAGCGGTAACAACCCGAGAACAAATAGAAACCCGCGTGACGTTGATGTTCTGTAATAATGAGAAGATCTTCTTCTTCTTCTTCTTCTTTTTTTTTGCCGTTCGCGTGATAGGGGGTGAAGGCGGTACGGTAATTTATAAATAGACGATGATTCGCTCATGCGAACGCGAAGTTATTATTTTTTATCAGGGATACAAAGTAAAAACTCGATTTTCAGGCTCGAAATTTTCAATCGAGAAAATCTATTATGTAATTAGATTTGTATATCTAATTCTCGTATTTTTGTGAATACGAAATTTATACATGTTTTTTTATAAAGATTTTATGAATTTTTGAAGTTTTAATCAAATGCTGAATTCTAGCAACTGTTTCAGATTATACCGCAGTTTAACAAAAATATATCGACAATTTTTAATCACTCTGATAACTTAAGAAGCGCCCATGATTTACGATATTACAGGATAGACTTTGTCTCTTTTGTGCGGCATTCGACTAATTGTTCTCAAACCCGTGCCTGTACTTAAAAGATAATTTTGATTTTCCCACTTGTAGATTCACAAATAAAGGTACTCGCCATCTAGTGGTGAAGGCAGAAAGTAGTATAATCGTATTTAAAGTCTTTGAAAACTGCTCCGAATTTCGAAAAGAATTAAGTTGTCATGGTTTGGTATGAGGTCATCGATAATGTTAATTATTTTTACTGGGGTACAATTTTTTTATTACATTCAATGATGGTAGCTTATTATAATACCTTATTATGAATAAAATTGTTTAAATAAACAATATTTCATTTATTGGAAACCCGTCCCTTCATCAGCTTAGTAATGCTGCACTTTGTTGTCGTTTTTCAAGATATTTATTATTAACAACCTACGTCAGTCACTTTTTTTTAAAGAAAATTATTATATAGAAATTCTTTGAATTCGCAAATGAGAATCAAGTATAAAAAAGAGTAAAAAATATTGATTCACGAGTGAACTTTATACACAAAATTTTTCTTAGAACGCGAAAGACATCATAGACGAGTTTAACAGTTTTAATTTAGGAGGGGAAAAAAGGGTATTAAAAATATTTAACCCTTTATACACTATATTAAAATGACAAATATAATAGACGATTGACGGAACAAATTATACATCAGGATAAAAATTTGATTCATGCTCTTTTACAAAAACAAGATTCCAAAAGGTACCGACTCGCTCGCACCCGTACACATCCAGCATACAAGTGTGGACGCGAGGAGAGGTGAGCGGGCGGGCTATAGGCGAGCGCAGAGAGAGAGAGCATAATAATTTCATTTCTGTATCGGGATTGCGGTGAGACGATAAATAGGCCAGCCACCCACCTACGCGTTCGGCGCGATGATTTAGCGGGGAGGGCGGCGTGGAGAACAGAAAACGTGTATCACCCTTGCGCGATATGGTCTGCATGCAGCAGCACCGCGGCAGAAAGATAGAAGCTTGTTAGCGGTGTATTCATTACAAATTACCGACGACGGCGGCGACGCGCAACCGTATGTTTTGCACGATGCGTGATACTAAATAATATATTCCTGCATCCGTGGTACGTCTGCTTTTCCACGCGTACATTCAATCAAGTTTTCGGCGAGTTTCGATGAGACTTTCGTAAATTGGAAGAATACGTTGACATTTGCTCGTTGTACACTTACTTTATCAGAGGCGATCCGAGAAAGTCTCAAGTATTTGAGTGTGTCTCGAGAATCAATAATTAGAGATAAAGACATTAGCAAATATAGTATATTTCTCAACGGGGGCACATATGGTTTTTTAGCAAAACGAGGGATTATAGCACGAGCCGAAGGCGAGTGCTGTAACGAGTTTTGTTAAAAAGCCATATCTGCACCAGTTTGAGATACTATTTTTTTCTACGAGAGCCTAAAATTAGCGGCAAAGTTGCGTATTTTAGGTTAGAGTGGGAAAAAATTATTATTCTGATGGAGAAAACTACTTATACTAATAAATTGACAGAAGATAATTTTAACATTTATGAGTTTACCAATAACATCTTTTTTATTTATTTCATTTAAAAATAAAATTTAATTTACATTTTTTCTTAGTTGTAAGATAAAATTATGAAATATCACTAAATTTGTATAGACTGAGCCTAATTTTCATGTCACGTGATTGCTTCTATGTATTGCAGTACGTGACTGCTTATAGGCAAGGAGCTATCATAAACGCGAGATCACCTCGCCAATATTACAAATAATCCGTTCAGTCGTTAGCTAGAAACTAAATTTCTAAGTAAGCAAGGTTACAAATAATATCAGTGAAAGAGTGTAAGTCTTTCTACCTGAAATCGAGATACAGTATCGGCTACTGTAGGTACATAACCTCAAATATTTTTTCAGTGCACAAACGTGAAAATTCAAAGTGCTTATAACCTATAATCAAGCGAACGATCATGGATAGCAGAGACGACACAATTAGGTATGATTTTTCGCACATGCTGTTATAATATTTCAAGCGATCACTTCATAAAATTAAATTATTCTTCAGGGTGAAACAAGAGCCGAACGATACTTGGCCAGATGCAGACAAAAATTATATTTTCGAATCGGTGGAGGAGGTAAGTTCAATTATTCGAATTATATTCCGTTTAAGAACTATAAAAAGTATTTGATGATTTCAATTTTAGAAAAATCATATGAATGGGTTGTTCCAGGAAAAGTTGGATGAAAAAATGCTCACAGATTCTGAGCGCAAAGATGTTAAACCTGAGCTGAAGTTTTTACCAAATACCACCAACGAAACTAAGCATCAACGTTACCTACCTATTGTGAAAGTAGAAAATATAGATCAAACAAATGACATAAAAGAAAAAATATTCATAGACTTTGAGTGCAGAGATGTTAAGCCTGCACTGGAGCCTTTACCGACAACCATCTGCAAAAATGAACATCAAAGTTGCCTACCTACAGTAAAAATAGAAAACCAAGTTTGTCACAAATCATTTGGACTAAAAGGTGACCTCGCACGTCATGTCAATGCAGTGCATGATCAGAATAAACCCTTTGAATGTGATATTTGTCATAATTCATTTACTCAAAAAGGTAGCCTCAAAACTCATATTAATTCAGTACACAATGGACATAAACCTTTTGAATGTGATGTTTGTCACAAATCATTTGGACAAAAACCATATCTCAAAGTTCACAGAAATGCAGTTCATATTCGGAGCAAACCCTTTGAATGTGAGATATGTCAAAAATTATTTGGATACAAAAGTCAACTCAATTCTCATATAAATGCAGTTCACAATCGAAGCAAGCCCTTTCAATGTGATATTTGTCATAAATCATTTGGACAAAAAAGTTACCTCAAAGTTCACATAAATGCAGTACATGATCGTAATAAACCCGTCGAATGTGAGATTTGTCACAAATCATTTGGACAAAAAGGACACCTCAAAACTCACATAAATTTAGTACATAATCGTAGCAAACCCTTCGAATGTGATATTTGTCAGAAAGCATTTGGGCAAAAAAGTCACCTCAAAATTCACATAAATGCATTACATAATCGTAGCAAACCCTTCGAATGTGACATTTGTAATAAATCATTTACACAAAAATGTTCCCTAATCAGACACATAACGACGGTACATAACCAGGGCAAACTCTTCGAATGTTAGATTTGTTACAATTAATTAAGGTGCATGGGGAACCATAATTTTCACATAAATTCAGTTCGTGATATGAGCAAGCCCTTTGAATTATAGATTTGTCACAAACCATTTTGATGAACGGATTTCCGTAATAATTTCATAAATGTAGTACACGATTGTAGTAAACTCTTCGAATGTGAGATTCTTCACAAACCGTTTCGATACAAGAGTGGACTCAAAAAACACCTTAATTCAATATATGGATGGAACAAAACCGTCAAGTGTGCGATACGTCACAAGTCACTTGGTCACTAGAATAGACTCAAAATAGATATAACGATGGAACATAATTTTAGCATAACTCAAGAACTTGAGATTTCTCTGGAATCATGTGGACCTTATTGAAGACTTCTGCAAATTTTGATAATCTTTCGCTTAAATTTTCTTTAATTTCATGGAGAAAAATAAAGTTTTTTAAACTGTTATTAATATTGTTATCATTGAGAAAAACCTTTCACGCATTTTTTTATTTCAACGAAATTAATATAAAAACTATTTTTCAAGTGTTACATCAATCGTATGGAAACATTTGATCGAAATTGACTCTACATATTAATGGTTCAATAATGTCCGTAGACTCCTATTGGATCGGTTTTGACATCGAGTACCCCACCTCAGATGGTTGCTGCATACAAGAAATTACCAAAAAAATTGTCTTTTTTCCCACACATCGGCTTAAATATTGACACGAAATCTCTAACCTACATCATTTGACATCGACACCGTTGTGTTTCTTTTATTAAAACAATAAAGCAACTATCGCATTACAAACCAGGGAGTCATTTTTCACGCATTCTTACGCAATCGCGTGTACAGCAGCAGCAGAGTCACGAGCGAAATAATACACAGCAAAGGAATCGAGCCTCGAAATGGCACGGGATGAATTACTCGCGATTCTATTAATTGGAATCCCCGACGGAATTATTGCGATGCACGCGCGCGTATTTTCAAATTATCGATCTGTCATTTCGTTCGGCGAGCATCATGTACACACACGCGCGCGCGCACGTACACGACGTGTAAATAAATGTGCATTTTCAAAGCTTTGGAAAATTACAGATTGATTGATTTCGCCCCGCGCGTCGACAACACGAAGACAGAAGCTTGAGCCTCGCGAAGTGCTGCTGCAAAGCGTCGATATAAATTGCAAAACGGCTCCGCGCGCGCGACGGACATTTGATCCATTCGTTGGAGAGAGTCGATTCGTTATAATCTTGTCTGCGTACAGCCCGGCAACATCTGGGATATGGAAAATTTTTCGGAGGTGAGGGAAAAAAGAAAGAAAAGAACGAGCTGACGATGACGATATGCAAGTATCGCGGCGGGTTCTCCTCGTCGAGCGATCGAGGCGCGCGCAGGAGGTACACAACACACACAGGGGGTCACGAGACCGTGTGTCCTACGTACGTATACGAATCTAGGATAAACGCGGGCGCGCGAGCAAGGATACGTATCGAAGGTTTCCCCATATATATACACATAAAAGAGGGCTCGGTATATACCTACAGCAGCCCCGCTCTGCCTAGGCTTATACGTTCACGTACGTAGGTGTGCATATATATATAAATGGTGCGTCGCGGTGGTGGCCGCCGTCGCTGGTACTCGGTGGGCGTGGTGGCTGCGCGCGTCGAGCTGCTCTGCTGCTGCTGCTCTGTGCTCTGCACCCTGCGCGCACGTTTGCTGCTTCTCGTGGGCTATACTACACCCCCGCGCGCGCGTCCGGAAGGACGAGAGCGCGGAATGCGTTGCTGCTCTCTCTCTCGTGCGTGCTTCTTCTTCAGTTCCTCCGCCGACGTCGAGCAAGTAGCACGTAGCGCGATTCGCTTCGTGTTTATAAATCGTATATAAACGCTGTCCCACTCCGTGTTGTATAGTCGACGCGCGATTCGAGAGCGCAGTGCAAACGCGAGTCGTATAAAAATCGTGCCGAGACACTATACCAATTTTTGGGCTATTTTCGTATTTTGTATTGCGCGTGTGATTTTTTCCAATAATAATAATGTGCGCAGACAAGGACGTTTTCCCAGAAGTGATATTTGGTTCCTCGTGCTTTTCATTATACGCCGCAGAGTCGTTGCAAAAGAAAAAGAGGCGCTATCCTTTTTTCAGTATCTAAAAAAATTTATCAGCGACGATATCGAGGTGATACTTGCCTTTTGATGGTTTTTAATATCTTTTTTATCTATACATGTTTTAATTCTTCAATTTTATTCGTAATTCTCGTTTATCTATCTGTAAAATGTGAATAAATTTGATGTCAATTTTCCTCTTTCAAAATACATATCTAAATTGCTGTTAAAAATAAATTGAAACAAAAAAAAAAATTGTCTCGACTCGATCAACGACATCAGTCAATCGCTGAAATTGCTGGTCTTGTTTTCGAATGCAACACTTGTAACGTATATTAAACAGCATGCGGGCTGCCGCGTTCAACACGTGAGTTTCTCGACTGTACTCCGTGTATACTATATAACGTACCGCGGCAGTTTCACTTTTAGTCGGGAACATAAGAGAGCTTAATCGAAATCGCGATTGCAGCCGCGTCGGGTCAACAAGGGATTCTGAAAAAAACTCCTCTATTACTTCGAAGTACACACACATACTGAGTAAGTTGTAGTTGGCCACTTTTTTTTTTTAGCCTGCCTGTGCCTTGCTCGATTGCTTATCAATTATTCTAGAAAATCGCTTTCTTTCGATAGCCTTTTCAACGCTTGGCGTGAACGAAATTAGATGTAGTACTTGTTTTTTTATGGTTGAGAAAATGCAATTATTAAAATAATCGGAATAGTGCCGTCGCGTAGTTTTAGAAAGATTATTTTTAAGCTAAAATTAATGAAAAATTATTTTTCGATCCATTGAGTGACTATTCTTATTGGTATTTTTGTAACGATAATTATTACAGTTTTCGAGATCGTAAAACAATTTTCGATGCAATTTGAAATTGGTTTTTTAAATTTAAATTAATATTCATGTAAAACCAAAAAAAATTCGATGAAAAAAATATTTTAATCCACAAAGTATTTATTTCAATAAAACTGAATTTCGAGAAAATTTTCGAGCTTTTTTACTATTGACGATTACAATTTGATAAAATTTGAACGATATTTTATCGACGCTCTACTTATGGTCCCTGTAACTCGAAAAATGTTCTTTGGAATAAATACAGATAAAAGCATGCATTTAATTCCTTTGATAGAAAGCCAAATTTATTAGGCATTTAAGAAATTGAGCGTAAAGCACAAGCTCTACATAAGCTTAATTCGTTTCTGCAAAAAAGTTGAAATTCGAGGTACTTTCAGTAATATTTTCTATAAAAAATACCAAAAATATGGATAAAACTTTCGCTGACATGATAGAATGCAAAAAAAAGAAGAAAAATTAAAACGTTTTAAATAATCACGGCAAAGCTCTCTTCCACGTCGTTTTACTGTAAAAACATGTATAAGTACCTGATCAAACAGTAAATTAGCGTAATTTTGGACGGACGAATTTGGAAAAAATTTAACAATGCTTAAAAAAATGTTTTCATTCATTTCTTAACAAACGCATGTGGATTAAAAAATTCAAAAAAAAAAGAACTACGTTACAGATTTAAAACGCACAAAGTTAATCTTTGAGCTCGGGATAAAGCTCTGATAAAAGTAAAAAATATCAGAGAACAACTCATTATGAAAATTATTTTCCAAACATTAATCTAATGATTTTCATCTGAAGCTCGGAGCTTCAGTGTGTGCATGCGAATTTTTTTTTCACTTCGCAAGTTAGAAATAAATTTTTAAACCACAGTTCATTATATAGAGTAGAAAAATTGTTGATGCGATCGTAAAACCCAATAACGGCGTCGTTCATTTTATTTTTTTTTCAGCTTATGTAATTTTTCATACTTCTCCGTAGTCTGAATAGTGAAATATTATTTATGGGTTCCGATGATATATTTACGAAAACAAGCAAGCCCAAGTACACAGTGCCTCGTTTTTAAATCAATTTATGCAAAAAATTACAATTTTTATTCAATTTTTGAAAACAACTTTTTCAACGAAAAAGGATCAAAAGCTTCGAGTCTTAAACGGCGTTTAAAATTCAATGAATATCTCTTGAAATCGCAATATCCATGTATACGCGAGCTATACACACACGCGTATCAATACACACATAGTCAGATCGCGTTATGATACTCGGCACAGAGAGCGAGCGAGTGGTGTATAGCATCAAAAGTCCTCGTTGAGCTGCTCAGCGGCAAAAGAGAGATATCAATCCGCGGTAAAGCAGCCCGCGCATTAACAAGTAGTCGTCGACACATATGCTACATATATCCCCGCGTATCAACGTATACACGGGGGCGAAGCAAATGAGAGTGAGAGAGGTAGAGAGAGAGATAGCGAAAAAAAAAAGGAGATAGCGAACGCACGAGCGCGTATGGCACGTACTACAGAGGCAACATCAGAGATAGGAGAGAGATAGAGGGGGGGGAGAAGGTGATAAGCATATGGCGAGTATCAGCTCAGCGTCGGATTAAAGAAAATCGATAAAAGCTCGCGAGTGTATATGCAGATACATATAAGCCACAGGTGCAGGAGGGTTGCAGGCGATACATATAGGTATACATATATTATAGACGTAGCAGCAGCCGCAGAAAAGTATAGATGCGGCCGAAGCAACACATGAGAAAGAGAAAGATAGGAGAGAGAGAGAACGAGCGCAACAGGGGCTATATAGAGCGAAAGAGAGAGAGAGAGAGAGAGAGAGAGAGAAAGAGAAAGAGCAAAGTTTGCAAGCTCTCTCTCTTGTGCTCTCTGCATACTGCACGCTACACGCATATATAAAAGCGATATCTCGCGGAGATTTTGCGAAATTAAAAATTACGCCTGAGCCTGGAGCTGTGCTTCTACGATTGTAAATCTCGAATAAGCTTAACTTATGTTCGCTCCGGCGATATATAGTTGGTACTAACACGTATATATACCTACACGCATACACGGGCGCGAAGGGAAAGAGAGCAAGAGCGAGAGAGAGAGAGATATGGCCAAACGCGAAAAGCGTATCGTATCGGAAAACTTTTCTTTCTTTCACTCTCTCTCTCTCTCTCACTCTC